GGCCATTTACCTGTTCATCCTCATCATGAAATTATTGCAGACCATCTATATCTGTTTTGGATTATGTATTTCATTGAATACTCCTTTGTTTGGTAGCTTGCATTTCAAGCGAAAAAGAAAGGAAAGAAAAGGAGATTTATGAGTCTAATCCTTAAAAAATATATAAATATATTATGATTTAAAATTTTAATAATTATTATACGAGTTTTGATAAAAATTAAAAATATATTTTTTATTTAACATTTCAACATAAATTATAATATAATAATTTTTTTAATTTTATATATACGAAATAAATAAATAAAAATAATAGTAAGAATTTTCGAATCAAAAATTGAGGAAATTTCAACTAATGAATAACTAGAGAAAAATTAGAAGTTCTCTTTCTCCTGCAATACTCAAGGCTCAATTTCTGAAAATTATGGCCAAAAAGTTCAATTGGTTTGTGCTGCTTTAAAGGGGAAGTGGACATGTTGTTTTCGAAAGTTAAAGTTTAGGCTACTTTGAAAGCAAGTAAGTTAGACTTTTATGGAAAAGTCAACAAATTAAAAAAATTAAAATAAAAAAGCATGGTTTTTGCGATGGGTTTTACTTGGATTAGTAGTTTAAGAAAAAGATGATTAGATTTGGAATCCAGGGCACCTGGGGGAGATGATTGCCTTTGCCAGCCTCTCTGCTTAGATGCAGGCATGTGTCGAGAATCAATCTTCCATAATCTTTCCCATTCTTTCCAACTCAACAAGTACCAGCATCTCTACTTTTTTTGTGTGTTGATTGTTAAACTCATCACATTATAATATAAATATTATTATTATTATTATTTCTTTTCCCTTTTTGGTGGCACCTGCGCCCTGTCCCTGTGTGTCAATGTCTCCCTCTGGTTCCACTATTTTTTTTTTCTGACTTTTGGAAGTATTATTATTAATTATTTGATTCACCAGGGAATATTAACTCATGGGGTCCACTCTAGTCAAATTTATACCCATGGGAATTTATGTCTTCAATTAATTTTAAAAATTAATATTTAATAAGATTATGATTTAAATTTTAATATTTATAATTTTAATTTTATGTGACTTTAAAAAAAAAACTTAAAATAGCTAATTATTCATTTTAAGATCTACTTCATTCGTCAATTTCTTCATTTCAAAATTTCCCTTATTACTCTTTCTTTAAATTAGGATGCGATCTTTCTAATTTTATTTATTAACAAAAATTATTAACAAAAATTAGTGATTGCCATTAATAAGATTAAATCTCTATTTCATAAATGCATGAAATGTGATTAAAATAAAATTTAAGAATTTATTTATATGAAAAATTAAATAATAAAATATTTTCGAGACTGAAATATTTTTAGGACAGAGCATTTTTTAAAAGAAAATTGTAGAGTAAAAATATACATAGTTGAGGTCAATAAGATTAATTGAATTGATAATATTTCACTTATAAAATTTAAAATTTATTATTAATAATTTTTTTTAAAGAATGATTTATAAATTTAATACAATAAGTTCTCGCTTAAACCTTCGTTATACTTTGATCCTGAAATAGATAGCTTCCTTTCAACTAAGCTTTTTAAGTGCCAAATAAATAGACATAAAAAAGTGAGACTCAAGTTGACGGTGCATTAATTATGAACTCCGACCCTTGATTATTAATTATTTTATGCCGTACGACAGGTGCTTTCATCAGACGAGGAAAACAGAAAATTCATTGAATTTTGTTTGTCAAGCTGTACCTAAGAAGTAAGAACAAAGAAAATTTAAGTTTTTATCTTGTAAATTGATTTTTATGAGATTAAAAATAATAATAATTATTATTATAATTATGATTAGAAAAATTTCATATTAAATGAATATGATGAAATTAATATTTAAATTTAATTAATAATATAATAAATTCAATTATATTACATTAAAGATATGATGTAATTCAAATCCCCACTAATTATATTACAATATTAAAAGTATAGAATTCTTTTTTATATATTTAAAATTGATATTAATATCAATAAACAGTTAGTTCAACGATTAAAATTATTTTTTTCGATGAAAGAGTTTTGGATTCGAGTTCTGTCGATAATCATTTTTTAGAATTATTTGAAATATAAGACTTGTAACTATCTGTCTTAAATTGATAAATTATTTTGTCATGATTTGAGATACTGAACAATTTATTTACTTCAAAAAAATTTTTTACAAAAAAAATGATATTAATTGAAATAATTGCATAAAATATTATTATCATATAATACAAATTTTAATAATCAAATTATAATTGTAAAAAAATGATAATATAATCAGTAACTTTTCATACACAAACGAAAAAACCAAACGAACAATCAACAAACCATCAAACTAAATAATTGGATGAAATACACGTAACTGAAACTTTCTCCTTGCAATTGAAACAAGACATTGTTTGACTATTATTATTAGTTCATTTTTTTGGCGATTTTTTTTTTTGTCAGCCATAAAAAGACTTTCATTATTCCAGGGAAACTGTTACAACAGTAGATATCCCAATAAAACAGGGATATAGATTTCAAGTATAAACAGGGGAGGGGAAACTTCTTATGGAACCACAGTATCTCAAGCATCCAACAACCTACCATGAAGCATAGAAAAATTCATGTCTGTCGAAACCCAATTTTGCCAAAGAATCAGCAAAAGGTATGAACAAATTCAATATGTTCCAAGGACCTTTCTGAATCCATCTATTTCATTAAAAATCTGCCAGATCTTCCATGGGCTAGTATTGCAATTGCACACCTAAGAAGTAGCAACTTTTGAATCTGATTCCTCCCAATCCGGTCCTTTTCGGGACAAACGTCTATATCACACCAGGGGAAAAGTTTAAAATGGTGAACAGTACTATAATTTAAGATTTTTAATCGGCTAGTAGTATAAGATATCTTGAATGTGAGGTTCGTACAACTTATGAGGTCATATCGATGTTAAGAAAAGCAATGATATTTTTAAACTGGCCCAACAGACACATATATGGTATCTCCGGTAGTTCTGGTTCTTATAACAAATAAAAGAAACCAGCAATGAATAATTGGTTATAATTTGGTATATTATTTTCACATGTGCCTTTCCTATTATATATATATATATAATAATTAAAGCAAGCTTGGTGAAAATAATTAGGAAATTTTGGATGGACAAACACATATATGATTAATTAGTCACATTGTCAAACATGTCATGGTTGATTTTCATTTAATATTGATGTTTTCATTCTTTTATAAAAAAAATCATAATTTGAGGATTAAAAAATATTACAGCCATAAGTTTTGATATTTAAATTTTAAATTTGTTAAATGTTAGTATTTAAGAGTGGCTATATAAATTAAATAAATTTAAATTTTGAATTATATATATATTGATCTGATATATTATATATATATTTAGATTATATAATGAGAATGAGATTTTTTTTATAAGCTATGTTATTATTATAAATAAATTACACATGATCAAATTAGTATAACAGAAGTAAGATTTTTTAAATCAATATGATTTAATTTTTTTATTTTTAAATTTAAATTCCAAACTTTCAACATTCCAACAAAATTAATTAAAAAAAATAAAGGTCGTAGGAACTTAGGAGTTCGGGCTCATTTAAACCCATTTCATCATTATACATAGCCTATCTGATCTTATATAGTGTTAATATTCATTTATTGCCCCTACTTACTAAAAAAAAAAATTGTCTGGCCACGAGGAACAACCACCAAGAAATATTAGTACGCTTTGATTTATTAAAGTACTTCAAATCAATCAACGACGGAAGATTTAAATGAAATTTTTACGAGAAATTTATAAAAATTTTAATTAAAAATGATTAAATAAAATTAAAATTAAAAAATTTTATTATATAAATCAAATATATAAAATTAAAAAATAAACAAATTTTGATATATATTTTTATTAGATATTTTTAGTAAAAATATTAATAATATTTATTTCGTTAAATAAATATTAATCAAATTTAAATTATAAATAATATTTTTAATATTTTTTTTATATATTATTGATTTTTATATAAAATTTTATCAATTTATAAGTTTAAATTTTTTATTAACATTTTTATTAAATCATTTAAAAAAATTTTACAAACTTCAACTAAAAAATTTTATGTTTTTTTTTTTCGAGTGATAGAATAGTAACTTTCTGCCTACTAGAATTATTAGGATTCCAGTTAAATTTTATACTTTGAAACATAATTGGGTGAAATAGTTTAAAATTTTAATACAAGTTATATATAAATTTTGTAAAAATAAAATTTATAATATAAATTATAATATAATAATTTTTATATTTTATTTGTATTTGACATAAAATATAAATAAATTGATTTGCCTAATTTCAATCTTTATTTTTATTTAGAGGAGGAAGAGTAGTTATTATGAGGAAAAGGTAAATGTTTACTGCAAATTTGGAAGTTTGGTGAGGGCGGCAGCATTTAGATTTGAATCATGAAGGGCAGACCAAAATTTAGGCAAAAAAAAGTAAAATCTCTGCTAGAAATGATTACTGCCTTCATGAAAAGTGACTAATCTTGCTTCCTTCAGCTTTACAAAAGCTATCTGAAAGAAAACAGTGGCAATCAGGTTTGAGTTTGCTGTCATTTAGGTTACAGTTTTGGTTAAATCAAACAAATAATCCATTTTTACCCCAGATTTACCTCACATCACACCTTTTTTTCATAAAGGAAAAGGCGAAGAAAAGGTCACGTGAGGAAGGGTTGAGGTCACGTGGAAGAGGGGTATGGCCTTTACTTCCTGTATATATGAATATAAATTCATGCAAATTACTGTGTGATATGAATAATGAGGGTTTGTTTTTATTGCGGAGGGGATGTTTTTTTGTTTCTGTCCAAATGCCTGTGTTTATTATGTGGTGTGTGGGCTCAAAACTCTTGCGCTCTCTCTCTCTCTCTAAATTACTGTAGAGGGAGCTTTATAAGCGAGACTTGTCTCAACCTTACCTGGTCATGGTGGGGGTCAATGAAACAACAAAACCAAGAAAAAAACTGCTCAAAATAAAAAGAAAAGCTTAAAAAAAAAGTGTCTTAAAGCTTAAAAGAAAGCTGATCATAGCAGCAAGCAATAGCTTTTCTTCTTCATGTTCCCTCGGCTTTTCACTTTCTCCCTCTAGATAAACCTTCTTTTTTTCTCTCTCTCTCTCTGCGCATTATCCTTTTTGTGTTATCAGTAAAGCTGAATTCCCCCTGATCCACTCTTCCCTTCCCACACTGTTCCAACTCCACCACCTGTAGAGCTAAAAGATTGATTGATTCGTTTTCACTTCAACTCATCACTCCACCAACAATCTCCTACATATAGTCTAACAAGGAACACCAAACAACAATATGTTGGACAACACTAGTGCTTCTGCCCTTCCATCTTCCTCCTCTGATCCTCTCACTCCTTTGGAAAATGGGGCCAACCAGAAAAGAAAAAGAAAGCCAGCGGGCACCCCAGGTAAAAAAACTAAAGCTATTACTCTTTTTTTTTTTGGCTAATTCAATTGATTTCTGATGATTTTTTTGTTTTTTAATGTTAATATAGATCCGGATGCAGAGGTGGTTTCTTTATCTCCAAAAACATTGCTGGAATCAGACAGGTATGTTTGTGAGATCTGCAACCAAGGGTTTCAAAGAGACCAGAACCTTCAAATGCATAGGAGAAGGCACAAGGTGCCCTGGAAGTTGCTGAAAAGGGAAACGCAAGAGGTGAAGAAGAGGGTATTTGTTTGCCCTGAGCCAAGCTGCTTGCACCATGATCCTTGCCATGCCCTGGGTGATCTGGTTGGCATAAAGAAACATTTCAGGAGGAAGCATAGCAATCAGAAACAGTGGGTTTGCGAGAAGTGCTCTAAAGGGTATGCTGTTCAGTCTGATTACAAGGCTCATCTCAAGACTTGTGGCACCAGAGGCCATTCCTGTGACTGTGGCCGTGTTTTTTCCAGGTCAGTGTCCTTTGTTGCAACCCCCAAAACAACTACTCCTTGTTGCCCTTCTCTTTCTTCTTTCTTTGGATTAGATTTTCAAAAATAATCCACACGTTTTTTCTATTGTATGTAATGATGGTTGCTTATCTTATTTTTTTTCATTCAAACCCTAAAATACCCACCAAAGTTATTATAAAGAAAAAAAAAAAAACCCATACTCTTGGTTATTGTAAGTTTCATACTGTTGAGTATTCTCTTGTTTTTGTTGGGTTTCTCACGATTTCTCCCAAAGCTAAAGTGCTAAACAAATCTAAATTATTCAAAATCGAAGACTGATTTCCTCTACAGTACAAATTGGCTTCAGTTTTGCATTTGCTTGTGATCTAGGCTTAGCCGATAAAAGTTTAAGAGCAGTGCGTTCCCTATTCCCAATAACAGGTTTTCGTTTGGCATAATTAAAACCCACTTACCAACATCCATTTGCAGACACAAGACCTCCGACTCAAGTTCATTTCTTTTGTTTAATTTTAATTATTTTAATATAGTAAACCTGGTCATATACTACATATACTATAGATACCTAGATAATTTTATATTGCTTTGTTCCTTGATAACCCTACATGAACAAGACTTGGTTGCATCCTTGACTTGGTTTGTATCATCCAAACTTCATTATTAAAGACACCAGGAGCAATCCAAATCCTCATCTAATATTATCTCTTCTGAATTATTCTTTTGCTTTTTGTCGTTTCAGGGTGGAGAGTTTCATTGAGCACCAAGATGCTTGCACTATTCGGCAAGTTCAACCTGAATTGCAGGCGCTGCACCCTGCCTGCTCCTCTCGAACAGCTTCAAGCACTAGTCCATCAAGCGATGCCAACTTTAGCATAGCCCCGTTGCCTGGATTGCCAATGCCAAAATCAACTGAGCCTGTTTTCTTGCACAGTTATGCGTCTACTTCTGGCCACCAGAACCATCTGCAACAGAATCTTGAACTTCAGCTTCTACCATCATCAAGCACTCACTCATCATGGAATTCTGATGAGAACTGCGCAACTCATTTGAAGCTATCAATAGGCTCAAGTGACGGTGTTGAAAAAAGTGAATTAAACAAGCTTAGTTTGGATACATGTAGAGAAAATAATGCCACTGAAACAGCATTGGAAGCTATTAGGTTGAAAAAGTTTGCAAGTGAGCAGCTAAAGTTGGCCATGGCCGAGAAGGCCTACGCGGAAAAGGCTAGACAAGAAGCAAAGAAGCAGATTGAGATGGCTGAGCTTGAGTTTGCAAGTGCTAAGATGTTAAGGCAACGAGCGCAAAGTGAACTCGAGAAGGCTCAAGTCTTGAAAGCTCAGGCAACAAAGAAGATAAGTGCTACAATCATGCAGATCACTTGTCAAGCTTGCAAGCATCAATTTCAAACATCAACAGCTGCTGTTCCAGCTGATGAGACCTCACTTGCTATAAGTTACATGTCTTCAGCCACAACAGAAGGGGAAGGAGAGTGACGGCAAGTTGATTATGCAATCAAAACGATCGACTCTTAGCCCTTAAAATCTCCTTGTTTTTGTGCTGCATGTTTAGTTTCTCTTTGCTATTTCAAGTAGTTATTCCGACCTATATCGTGGTTTTGATATAAAAAAAGGTCTTTGTAAGCAATTAATTCTTGAATTGATTTAATATATCTTCATTTGTTTAATAGAAAGTAAATGATTCAATTTAATGGAATGCAGTGAAGTACAATATCTATACGAGATTCTGAGATGAAAAATAATCATGCGTTTGGATTCTCTCAATCTCTCCTGCAAGGGTACCATGTGAATGTTTTAAACATCCATGTACTCGAATTTGTAGCTTCGGAGTAGGCACTTGGCATGAAAGAAGAAGGTTTTCCCCACTGATTTTGTTACATGGAATAATTTTAAGGAGAGGCTATATTTTTTTCCCGGGATCAATTTCAACTGCTGAATTCCATTCATGGAAACCAAGAGAGTAGATTATCCTTTATATTATAATTTACTAGCCACTAGCCTAAGCTATATACGACTTATATTGAATACTCGATTCATCTTTTATCTTGTAACAGAAAACCCAAAATTGTAGGTTTTATAAGAAAGGGTGTTGGGTATTATCATTGTGTCATCTTTTATCTTTCCTTATTTTAGCCAGTTGACGTTACCAACCATTAAAATAATGATATAAAGAAAAGGAAGATAGTTTAAAAAATACTGATTAGATCTTAAGCATTGTATTTTGAAAGGTATGCATGGCTAAGTTTTAAAAAGGGGCCTGTCTTCTCAATGAAGTATAAATGAATGACACATGGACTATGAAACTCCTCTCTTTGGGTTGGGATTTTCATTTCTTGGGACCATTTTGGATAGAAAATGGGAAGAACCATTCAAAGATGCTGACCCATATATTCAACCCAAATTCATTGTTTGGAAAGAAAGAAAGTGTGTGGGAGAGAGAGAGGAAAAGGAATGTCATTTTCATTGCATTGTGCCCATTTAAATGGTGATAAAAACACCATGTTTTTCAGTGCCACAGTTGAAATGGTTATAGGCAGGCAAGAGTCCTTCTCAACCATAAACAACACTTACAATCACATAAAGGCACACACTCTCTCTCACACTTTATCAGAATCAGAAGAGGTTGCAGCGTCAGCAGCTAGCAGAAGGACACAGTGCCTTTTTCATTAAATTTTTTAGCCCAAAATAAATGACTACCAGTGGAAAAAAGGACTACCCTTTCCTTTCCTTTCTCCTCTTCTTTTTTCTTCCAGTGTAATTAAAAAAAAAAAAAAAACAAATGACTACTACTAGTAGTTTATTTTTTCTTTCACAAGTTTGGCAAAGGTAAAGACTGAGTGAAAGGTGAACCAAAAGGGTTTCCATTTTCTCTCATTGCTTTTTTGTTTTGTTTTTTTTTGAGGGTTTGGCAGTCTTTGGGACCATGTGCTCCTCCTCTTTCCCCACCTTTTAATGCAATTTCCTATTTTTTGTCCATTGAATAGCTATGAATAGCACTTTATTTCAATTTCAATTGCTTTAGGGTATGATTTTAACCGGTTCAACACTTTGTCCCCAAAAAAGAAAAAAGAGGTACTGTACATTTACATTGTCACAGTATCCCAGAATTAAAAAAACAAGTTTTAACAGTATGGCTGATAAGACAGTATGATAATGGAGAGAAAAGAAAGTAAAAAGAGATTGAAGAATTAAAAAAAAAAAAAAAACTCAAGTCCATTTTGATACATTGAGGAATTTTTTGTCACCTGGAAAGTAATTTTGTAATGTTTGGATAAAATATTAATAAAAAAATAAAATGAAAGAAATTTTTTTTTAAAAAGATATATATATCTCTTATTTGAATAATTAAAATTAATAAAAAAAAATTCTAACAACTATTATTTGGATAAATAGTGAAAAAATAATTTATTATAATAATTTTTTCAATTATAATATTTCATTGCTTGTGATTTTATAATACTTTTGAACCATAATATATTTGTTATCTTATCTAATCTCCTATTGTTATTATATCAATGATTTTTAATCAAGTGAAATAAGAAGATTTTTACAAACATGTATTGATGGATTTGTTGTCATTATCAAAATTTTAGCACATTATCATTTTGACGATATATTCATATAAAAGCTATTAAATATAAAAAATGCAATCACATAAAAACATTACATATGAGTGAATTATATGTCTTTTTTGTACCAAACAATAAGTAATAATATATCACTATATAGTTGTTCAACATAAATTTATTACACTAAAATAAAAAATAAATATTTCTATTTTTAAAAAAATAAAACTAATATTTACCAATTAAGTTTGTGTGAAAAACGTACTGATATGTTTATAATCATAGCCAAGGTAATTGTGTTTCAATGAACCATCTTTTAGAATTGTCGACATCTCAAACTATAATATATTACATATAAAAATAAAAAATTTTGAGTTAGTTTGACATATCATAAATCTAAAAAATATGTCTATTTATATTCAATCATTCATCAAGATCAAATTATCAAAAAATTATAAAAAATTTTTTATATTGGAAGAGACATGTGAAACTTACTTGAAAAAAAGTGATTTTAAAAAAATTATAAAAAAATTATGATGTGGTTAAGTTTTTTATTTTATTAGGCTTTTGGTATTAAAAAGTTGGATACAATAGTCATTTTACAAAAATAAAATTTTTTTAGCTTTCTTTTTCTTAGCTTTTCCCTCAAATTAGGGTATTAAAAAAGTAAAAATTATAGGGAAACCAATGGTTATGGAGTTATCATCTCTTTCATTTCCTTTAAATTAAAAGTTTATCCAAACAAATGAAAGATTTTTTTGTTTTCATTACTTTATTTTATTTTTCTTTCATTTCCTTCCCTTCCCCTCAATCCAAATATACTGTTAGAGAATAAAACTCCAAATGTAGCAAATTATGTAGAGATTTCATCTAAAAAAGATAGACATAAATAAAATTTAAGGATAATTCTAATTGCATTACCAAGAAAAAAAAAAAGACAAAGATAAAGAATTAATTAGGAACTTTAAACATTTCTTTTAATTGTTTGGTAAACATAAAAGTAAAATTGATATAGGCCTGAACCTCTTTCTTTTTTATTTTTATTTGTGTATTTGTATTTATTTATTTTGTGTTTAAAATGTATAAAACACAAAAATTATTGTTTTATAATTCATGTTAACAAGTTAAATGTAAAACATATTTTTTTTTTGTTAAAATCGTATATGATATTTATTAAAATTTTAAATCATATTATTTTTATTTTTTAAAAATAAATATATATTTTTAATTTTTTAAGTTTATATATGATTTTTATTAAAATTTTAAATTGTATTATCTTTTTTATCATATTAATGAATCATATTTCAAATTATCAAAATCTATAATCTCACTAAATGTAAATATAATTTGATTGATTCCCATTTTCTTTCATTTCTTTTTAATCTCTCCCCCAAAATAAAAAACTTTAGATGTACGTAAAAGTTCAATTGGAAGAGGATATTTTCTCTTAGGTTATGAATAAAACATATTTCTCCTTTTTTTTAAAAAAAAAAATTTAAAGTATGAGAGTAATTCTCCAATGAAAGAAATTGAAATTCATAGTATAAAATATTTTTTTATGAGATAATAGAAATGTATTTTGATGCCTTAGGTTAACTTTACTGTATAAAAAACCTGAATTGTTAGTATATATATATAAATAAATATATTATTAAGAAACGTTGGGATGAGTTGGCTTGTCTCCATAGTTGATGGCATATAAAACCTCTGCCAAATGGAATGCAGGGAGATGGAAAAAGCCTACTTTTAGAACAAGCATTTTGATAATAATTAAATATTATGAACACATCCATGCACAGTATGGGACAAACAAACATTTCCTCATCCCTATCTTAATCGTAATGTAATGATGGGGATACAATGCAAGTGACTTTCATAACCTTATATTTATTTTTTTCCCTATAATGGGAGATGGAAAAGGCCTACTTTGGGCTCTGTTTGGTTCAAAAGTAGAAAAAAATCCATGTTTGGGCCTATAAATTTAAAGCCTTTCAACATTACCCAGATAGCTCGCCTTACAAATTCAATTACAAGCTATTATAGTATGAAAAATTATATTCATATTCCTTTCGAATATATATATATATATATAAATAAAACGAACTCATAACGTGTAAACATTTATTTAACATGTTTTACACAATTTTATCATATTTTGAAGGAATAATTGACCGTTAATTTAACATATTGTTGAGTTTAACTTGCCCCTCCAAAAAAAAAAAAAAAAACACAAATACGTACACATTCACAATTTAATTACAATTTCAATATTTCATGTTCATTTCTAAAATTTTTACAAGAGTAGCATGCATGTATCAAGAGTGCAAATTAGGAGATAATTTTTTTTAAAAATAGTATCGAATCAATTATGCATGTGATATGAGGTGTATATCTCTAGGTCATAAAATCATCATATATGTTTGGTTAGTTCAACAATTTTGTATGGTAATGTGGTAATGATTTTGCTATATATACATATATATATTATCCAAAGAAACATTATACTATAATTTGGCAAAAACATTCTCTTTTTGCTTATGTTCGACTTCAATTGGATTATTATGATAATATAGAGGTAAAAAAGCAACATGACCATTTCCATTTTTCAAAAATCTGGAGATGTCTTTTGAATAATAATAATAATAATAATATAATTATTATTATTATTATTATTATTATTATTATTATTTATTATCAAAATCAAAATTCTTAATTTTGTGTTCTCTAAAATTAGAATGCTATTATATAGACCTAGTAATTCGAGTTTGCATGTCGTGTCTCATTTCGTGTTTGACACATGTAATAACACAAATTATTAAAACATGAACATGACACGTTTATTATATGTGTAATAATATGAATTATAAAATATGTTTAAATATTAAATATGAATATGATACATATATTATACATGTTATATGTGATATGATATAATTAACACGTATACAATTAATCTATTTAAATACGATATAAATAATACAAATATATACGAATATATACGACTAACATAGATATACACGAATAGATACAAGAACACTACTAAAATAATAAATAACTATAAACTATCTATCATTTACAACTAATAAACTTGGCATATTAATAACATAAAAAGTAATTACATA